ATAGGCTTTCCTAAATTCGATCTTAAGCATTGCCTCGGTTCTTTTCTATTATTTTTTCTACCTTGTTTTCATTATAGATTCTTAAATCTTCCTTTACTCCCTTCTTTATTTGTTTATTCAATTCTTTGAAATCATTGGTGTTTCGCTTTCCTTCGCTTAAAAATGTGCGTCTCTTTTCCATCAACCGTCTTGTTCCTTCACTTATACGGTCTTCTTTATTTTTCGTTTTCTTTGCAAGTCAGTCCTGCTTTCAAGAGCTTTCGTTGCATTTCTTTATTAATTGTGTTCATGTCGGAATATTCTTGTTGATAATGTTCTACAAATTCTTTTCTTAAGACTTCTCTGTACCTACTCATCTCCCTTCTGTCGTATTTTAGTTTGATCTATCTGATTACCTTGCTCTTAAAAGGCGATGATCGCTGCCAGTTGTTAATCGATTGAGAGCAGTTATATTTCCAAAAATTACTTTGTTCCTACACAAGAAGTAATCGGTCTCGTTTTTCGTCTTTTTATCGGAGATATCCACGTCCATTTTCGGTTTGCTGGTTTCTTGAAGTATGTGGTCAGGGCATATAAATTTTGTTGTTCTAAGAAATTATATAATTTTTCTCCTCTTTCGTTTCATTGTGCCATAACCGTGCATCCCTATTTTGGTTTCAGTATTTTCTTCTTTTTTACCCAATTTTGCGTTGAAATCTCCCATAATGATGGTATATTTTGTATCATTTTCTTCTAATGCTGTTATCAAATCTTCGTAGAACATTTCAATTACCTCGTATTATCTAGGTCTGTTATAATATAAGCTATTCTATCAGAAACGCTTTTATATGTAGAAATGTAAGGTGTGAGATACGTTTTGATAAGAAATCCTACTCCACCATATGTTTTTTCTATTTTCCCTGTATAGTATAAGCGATTTCCAGAGTTTAGATGCCACTTTATCTTGGATAGTTCTTCTTCTAATTCGTAAACCTTTTCATCTTTAGCCATAGTTTGGATGTTGTATGTGGCTAGTAGTAACTGTTTTTGTTTGTTCGTATCTATTTTGGCGCGTTTTGTTGAGCTTGTGCCTCCCCCAGAATCCGTGAGGCTGACCAGTTTTCCGGTGTGGTAATCTGAGCTGCTAGCTCTACCCACCTGGGGTATGGTCGCTTGGCATACACCACGCTTGGGCAGTATCACAGCCGGTTAAATCAGTATTTGATTTTCGCCTGCGACTTTGTGGTACCGCACCTGTCAGGAAATGTATTCCTTAGCCACGGGCCACTAATGACACAGCTGCTAACCTGTGTCATGTCCTCCGTTGAACCGCGGGTACTTATTTAGCGAAGCCTTTTTCATACCTGTCTTGCATATCTAGAGGAACGTTCCCTAACAGCCATTGGGACGCGCCGTGTCGGGGTTGAGGACTTCCCCGCCCAGTATGTCTTGCACAAAGTACTGAAGGACCCCTACTCAGTTTAGCGTCCCTCCTCTACACAAGCTAAGATCGCCACGGGTCTAAATACCCTACCTTGTTTTCATTATAGATTCTTAAATCTTCCTTTACTCCCTTCTTTATTTGTTTATTCAATTCTTTGAAATCATTGGTGTTTCGCTTTCCTTCGCTTAAAAATGTGCGTCTCTTTTCCATCAACCGTCTTGTTCCTTCACTTATACGGTCTTCTTTACTTTTCGTTTTCTTTGCAAGTCAGTCCTGCTTTCAAGAGCTTTCGTTGCATTTCTTTATTAATTGTGTTCATGTCGGAATATTCTTGTTGATAATGTTCTACAAATTCTTTTCTTAAGACTTCTCTGTACCTACTCATCTCCCTTCTGTCGTATTTTAGTTTGATCTATCTGATTACCTTGCTCTTAAAAGGCGATGATCGCTGCCAGTTGTTAATCGATTGAGAGCAGTTATATTTCCAAAAATTACTTTGTTCCTACACAAGAAGTAATCGGTCTCGTTTTTCGTCTTTTTATCGGAGATATCCACGTCCATTTTCGGTTTGCTGGTTTCTTGAAGTATGTGGTCAGGGCATATAAATTTTGTTGTTCTAAGAAATTATATAATTTTTCTCCTCTTTCGTTTCATTGTGCCATAACCGTGCATCCCTATTTTGGTTTCAGTATTTTCTTCTTTTTTACCCAATTTTGCGTTGAAATCTCCCATAATGATGGTATATTTTGTATCATTTTCTTCTAATGCTGTTATCAAATCTTCGTAGAACATTTCAATTACCTCGTATTATCTAGGTCTGTTATAATATAAGCTATTCTATCAGAAACGCTTTTATATGTAGAAATGTAAGGTGTGAGATACGTTTTGATAAGAAATCCTACTCCACCATATGTTTTTTCTATTTTCCCTGTATAGTATAAGCGATTTCCAGAGTTTAGATGCCACTTTATCTTGGATAGTTCTTCTTCTAATTCGTAAACCTTTTCATCTTTAGCCATAGTTTGGATGTTGTATGTGGCTAGTAGTAACTGTTTTTGTTTGTTCGTATCTATTTTGGCGCGTTTTGTTGAGCTTGTGCCTCCCCCAATATCCGTGAGGCTGACCAGTTTTCCGGTGTGGTAATCTGAGCTGCTAGCTCTACCCACCTGGGTATGGTCGCTTGGCATACACCACGCTTGGGCAGTATCACAGCCGGTTAAATCAGTATTTGATTTTCGCCTGCGACTTTGTGGTACCGCACCTGTCAGGAAATGTATTCCTTAGCCACGGGCCACTAATGACACAGCTGCTAACCTGTGTCATGTCCTCCGTTGAACCGCGGGTACTTATTTAGCGAAGCCTTTTTCATACCTGTCTTGCATATCTAGAGGAACGTTCCCTAACAGCCATTGGGACGCGCCGTGTCGGGGTTGAGGACTTCCCCGCCCAGTATGTCTTGCACAAAGTACTGAAGGACCCCTACTCAGTTTAACGTCCCTCCTCTACACAAGCTAAGATCGCCACGAGTCTAAATACCCTACATTAATTTATTGACATATTTTTCTAAAGGCTGATCATCGGTTGGTTTACTGTAGGGCATTACTATAATAGGAATTAGTGTAATATGTCCGAGTAATACCTACACGTGGAGAGAGATACACTTTGCTGCAACCGATTATGCAAGCAGAGGTCAAAGGAAGGAAAAACATAGCATTAGCATATCATGAGAGATTAAGATATTAGCGCATTATATAGCGCAGATTAAGAGAGTGATACGGTTGAACATCAAATGAACTTTTCAGCGCAGCTGTCTCTAAATTCCGAATTGCTATGATGATTGCCGACCTCCGTCATTGAGATGACATTTAAAGAAGAATATTCTTATATTCGGTTCATATTTAGCTGGTTTATTTGGCTTCTAAATGTACACATTTTCGTATAGTAAGTTTCCATTAATCTCCCTTTTTAAATAAAAAAACATTTTAGCTCAGATCAGAAAATAAGTACAAAATTCTTGTCTATATTTTTATTTAATAAATAATAAATACAATCTAATTAACGCTAGTAATACTCGATTAGGAGCAACAATAACATATTGCACAATTTTTTTTTTAAATAAATGTAAACAAAAATAATAATTTTAGTTAACATTGTACGTTTTAGTTGACTTATACGTTACGATGGTCTACAGATGTATTCACTTTTTGATATTTTCAATGACCAATACAAGGAAATGCAATTTTTTCGTCATGGTAATCAATGATAACTAACAATCTAGTAACTATCATTTTTCAGATGTTTTACTACTATAAACTCACAGATAAAAATATTACACATTTTATTTTCGATTTTTTTAAACTTGTGCTTTTTTTATCACTAAATACTGTTTATTGGAGCATTTTACGTTTTTTACCATCTATTACAGGTAAAAAAATGTTTAGATATCCGCGAATAAGTTGTTGAACAGTATGAAACATGCTTGAAGAAACACAACAATAAAACATTATAAGTTGACGTTTTCAGAATAGCATAGACGTTATTAGAATGACATTTTGCTTTTTCATTTGTGTTTGGTTTCAGTTAGTAAGTTACATCATCTAAATTCATATTGTATTAAATTGTAATAATAAAAAAAATCATAAAAAACTATGTTGTGCATTACACCTCAGAAATTTAGCATCTTTAACTGAATACATCCAAAGACCTCATCGGTAGGTACACATGATACTAACGGAACAATATTTTTTGACTTACACTATTGGGTACACCGAATATTTCTGAATTTTAACTAAACAAAAAATCAAAAATATCCACACAAAAAAGTAAAATAAATCACAGTCAAAAAGTATTTATATACCTTTTATAATTATCTATAAAAATATTTTGGAATGTTAATACATACTCATGGGAGACACATAAATATTGTGCAACAAAATATTTCCATGAAAAATTTAACCATTTGACTGTAAGTCAAATTTTTGTCAATGGCGTATTATTATCCATGAAAAGACGTCCTTGTACGTTACCATGCACGTTAATTAGGAATAGGCTTCTGATCGCATACAACATGGTAAATTAGTGAGAGTTTTTTTGGCGGCGATACATACTTCCGAAATATAAAACTTGGAATTAAAGAAAAAAAGGAGTAAGATGATAATAATTCACATAGTGTCCGACAAGGGTGTAAAGTTACATTTTTGTGAAAGAAGTGGCATAAAACAATAAACGATCTCAAAGGCATCTGGTGAGATAGACTTAGATACAAAATAAATGGTAAAATGGAAGTTATTAAAGTTTGAGAACGAAACTCCTAACTAACAATAAATAAAGATGGATTGAACTTAATTGATTTAACTTTCAAAATACAGCATAGTCTTTCCCAAACGATTTCCAGTATCATATATCTAAAAAATAAGTGACAGAACAATCTCTTATCCATTAAAAATGTTAATAATAAAAAGTTTCAACATTAATATTAATTGCATTTCGACTCATTGACCGTTCAATATAAATAATCGAGTTGAGTGTAATTTTTCTTTTTGGCTTCTACGTTTTTTCCTTTTTTATTTCATTTTTTAAATAATTTTGGTATGGATTAATATGAAAAACCATAAAAAAAATCAAAAATATATTCAATACTAAATAAATACTTAATATATTCCCATGAGTACTTTATATATTTTTAAATAGTAACAATGCAGTACTTTTAGAATTAATTAAAGATATTTTTTTATTTCTATTGCAACGCTTTTTGTTAAATTATTGATAAAAAATATGTACGGCAATGTCTGACATATTGCCGGCGCTCTAGATTTAATATAATACCTACTTATATTTTGTTAGGACAAAGAAGATATTTACGACATAACGAGACTGGCGCTGTAACACCGCTCTTTAGAATGATTATAAATCGGCATAGCATAGCCGTGGACATATTATGAAACTTTGAAGATTTTAGAGATGATTCACTCTCCCGTCACCTTTGCACGTTAAAAGCAGCTAACAATATTAAAAAAATCAGAAACCCGATTTCATCTGACCTTCGGTAAGTATTCGGGTAATTTCTAAAATCGAATCAATTGATAAATGATTACAAGTAACAATTTAAACATGCGAAAAGTGTGCGCAAGTTTCGCATTGTCTTCCAAGAAGTTTCTAAGCTAGTCTAGATTCCAGTTTTTTACCATACTATTCCCCTCTATTTACCCTATTCGTTGGATCTTGCGCTGTTTAATTTTTATTTGTTTCCCAAGGTAAAATCTGCTATAAAAGGAACAAGATTTGAAGCTACGAGAGAGAAAACAACACAAGTTTTGAAGGATCAAACAGAAGAATGATTCTCGCACTGTTTCGAACAATAAAAGATTTTTGCACGGAAAGTTGTAGAATAGGGAAGAGTTATGTATTTAAAATGATAATATGGGGTTAAAGTAAAATATTTTACAGCGTCAGTCTCGTTATGTAATAACCACCCCTTGCATACATTTGTTCCAGTTCTACAAAACAACTTAATTCTTGACTCCAATCTTCAAAGTACTACATCGTTACTACCTTTCACAATACACCTAAAAATAGAATCTAAAAATTGAAAAACAAAAAATTCAAGAAAGAATATCACGATGTGGAAGCAGGCGTTCTAGTACGACTATGGGCCCGCCTTGGGATAGAAGATGTAGAACTAGAAATAAAGGCGTAACGTTGGGGGGAGGGCGGCTCCCCCGGTTGCCTCCACAACCTCGAAGGAATCTTCTTCGAGGGCGTCGAGTCACACGTCCCTGGTGGCGTTGCTGATGGAGGGCGCGACTTCCTTGCGTTCCTGGGTGATGTTGGTGATAGAAGTTCAGTCACACTGAAACAAGGAAAGGTACTTGTATAAGGTTATTAAATTAGTATTTAGTCTTGTGTAAAATTATTATTACCTATAATACCTTAAAGAATGATAAAAAATGAATTAGACATGGCTCATTGGCAGTGAATCTACACCAGTGAGAAGGCCATACGTGTCCTAAATGATAATGATGTCTTACTAGTTACGCTCCGTACGTTTTTAGTCGTTTTAAGTACATTTTCGTTAATAGGTTTTATGAATAGTGATATTTGATGAAATAAACTATCTCCTTACCTGGAATTGCTGTATAGCAGCATGAAACACACAAAAAATCTATTACAAGTACTGGAAAAGCAATTTTTTCAAACTAGTCTTTGTTTATAAGGCCACTTATATCTTTCATAAAATGTATTCTAGGGTGGATTTGGTTCTTAAAAACCGTAATTATATTTTTTAGTAGAATTTCTTGGGATTAGGTTAATAAAAAAAAATGTCTATGGTGCCATGTCATTTTAATCCCACTTTTTTTCGACGTTTCGGAAGAAAACGCTATCCATGCTTTTGTCAAGAAATATTATTGACTAAATAACAAAAGGCATACCTAATTAGATTCAAAAATAATCTTTGACTTAAAAAGCATGCAAAAATTGGTTGGGAACAAGTATTCAATTAAACATCACAATTAAAATAATAATAAAAACATAGGACAGACCCAAGTTAATACAAGTAAAATGTATTTTAAATTTAATATCTAGTTTTGTTGATTTTTGGTTCATCATAGGTATTCTACAATTATTCTGTCGGTATATTTTAAATTAAATTGGATTATATCTTGTTTAAATTTTTAACATCTTTTGTATTTATTGCATTTATTGCATTATTTTTATGTAATTTATAAAGACTCTAGGAGCTCCCTCTTTTTGCTTTTATGTTCACTTTTTAGGATCTTAGTTTTGTCAAAATCAAATTTACGTTACTTTCTTTTTCATGTGTTGTGAGGGCGGTTGGACTGGACATCCCTCTAGAAGAATTTCTATAAGCAATCGAAACAACATTAAAGTCAACCTATTTCCTATATAAAAAGCAATATTTTCCAACAAACAGATTGATGTGCTATGAGCGATATATGTAGCTTATCTAGTGCTATCGCTCAATAAGTTTTAGGGCACTTTGAAGAAATTGTTCTAAATAAAATAGATTTCGATATACTTTTTTTGTATATATATTATATATATATATATATATATATATATATATATATATATATATATATATATATAGACTATCTAAGTGCAGCAGCAAAGGATAAAATAGATATTTTGTTATATGAATTTCAATAACTTACACCAAAAACTTCACATTAGAAGTCGAAAAAAAATTTCAAATCAATTTTTTGGACCTGACTTTACATAAACAAAATAGTACTATAGTACTTCTTGGTACACTAAAAAATCTGGTCGTCGAGATATCTGAATTTCACCTCTCATCATCCGTTGACCTAAAAGAAATCAGTACTTATCGGCCTCACCGACAAAGCTGTCAGATTATCCGAATCTATTAAGAGACCTCAGGTCACAAAAAAAACAAAAATAGCACTAACCCTTAATTCCTATCCACAACACCTTATCGAAAATATTTTGAAGTCGCGACTACATACATACATACATTTTACAATAAAAAGGTTCAAACATCAAAACTAACAAGGTAAAGAAAAAACTACATGTTTCTTCCCAAATCTCCTGTTAAAACGTAACATTACAGTTGCTCATAAAGGGTACGATCTTTAAAAAAAAATCGAGCCCCTCAATAAAAAAAAAAAAACGAATGTAGTATATGAAATTTATATCTCAAATTTCTATCGGGTATATATTGGACAAACCAGTCAGCTACTAACTCAAGAATACATTCTCACAAATATGACAAAAAAACTCATCTGTCCTCACAAAACATGAAAACGAAAAGAAAGTTTTTGATTTTGACAAAACTACGATCCTAAAAATGAACAAGTGAACAGTGAAAAAAGAGGGAGCGCCTAGAGCTTATGAAATTAAAAAAATAATAATAATGTAATACACGATAAAAAAGATGTCAGAAATTTAAACAAGATATATTCCAATTTAATTTAAAATAAACAGAATAATTTCAGAACGCCTATGATATAAAAACAATTGATTGTTTAAATGATAAACCAAACATCAAAAAATCAATATAATACATTTAAGATACATTTTACTTGTAGTGATTTTGTCCTTTATCTTTACTATTACTTTAATTGTGACGTTTAACTGTAAACTTGTTCGCAATCAACTTTTGCATATTTGGTAAGTAAAAGATTTTTTTAAATCTTATTAGGTATGTCTTTTGATAAAGTGTGTTTTAGTCAATAATATTTCCTGAAATAAGCATGAATATCCTACCTAAACGTCTAATAAAAAAAGTGAATAAAAATGTCATAACAGAAAAATTTTTTATGGATAGCTCAAGCAATTATACTATAATATAATATATATATATATATATATATATATATATATATATATAATATATATATATATATATATATATGTATATACCGGTTGGTGAATCGCCTAACGGGCCATAGGAAATTCAATGGGAAATTCTAAATTGTTGAATTCCTGATTCCCTAATTATTTTACATCAAACGTCATAAAAAACTATTTGTAGAGGACTGAAATATGTATTAAAAACAAATGTTAAAATTGTTCTACGAATTAAATGTATTCCAAAATTTTGTAAAAATATAATACATTTTTCAGGCCACCCCTTAAAGTCAGGCCACACGAGGTACAAGAATGTATATGACATGTTGCGTTTGGTCATATTGATGATTCTGATATTTGACAATATTTGAATTGTCAATATATTTATTTTGTGATTAAATTATACACAAATACTAAAATACTACTAGTGTTTACAAAGCAATAAAATTGATGAAATGTATTCAGTTCATATGAACGGAACTTATTCCTTTTCAAAATTTTTAACGCCGTAGAATTATGAATATTAAACTGGTCTTCAATGATCCGAGAACTTATTCTAGGATTTTCTACAACTGCTGGATTTCAACAAACTCTACATTTATTTCATTTTGTTTTTCTAAATATTTTGGTACCTCAGCAATATTGTTTGTACAGGTACAATTAGAAATCACGGTCCCATTATTTTGTAAAATCCTTTGAATTGTTGAATTGGTCTACTGGAATATCTTACGCTAAATAAAGAACTGACAATTCGCGCACTATTGCTTGAATAAAACATTTTTATTATTGCTATTTTCTCCTCAACTGAATACATTTTTTAATCAACTATATTGTTTTTTAAACAATAAATCACAAAATTAAAATTTTGGAAATTCAAATATTGTCAAATATCAGAAACATCAATATGACCAAACGCAACATGTCATACGCATTCTTGTACCTCGTGTGGCCTGAATTTAAGGGGTGGCCTGAAAAATGTAATGTATTTTTACAATTTGTTTTTAGTACATATTTCAGCCCTCTACAAATAGTTTCTTATGACTTTTGATGTAAAATAATTAGGGAAGCAAGAATTCAATAATTCAGAATTTCCCATTGAATTTCCTATGGCCCGTTTGACGATTCACCACCCCGTATATATATATATATATATATATATATATATATATATATATATATATATATATACTGAATGAAAAAATCAGGTAAACATCTATTCATATTTATTAGAATTCATTAACTTTTAGATATAAAAAACAACTGATAAAATTTTTAGGTCGTTTATAAGTTTTTGTGGTGACTGCGTAAATTGTTTGGTGGTAACAAAACTTTCAGTTTTCGTGTATTTACAGCGTCAGCAAAATTTTAAATTTTGTGTAGCTGATTGAGAAGCCCCTTTTTTTGCTAAAAATGCCTAGAGGGTGAGATTTCGCCGGGTGTACCAGCTTATTGACTTTAAGAGGGGTCGAATTGTCGAGGTGCAAGTTTTTAGGAGGACTAACAGATCATTATGAAATATATTGAAATATGAACGAGGCAGGAAGGCTGAGGACACCAAGCGAGGGGTTCTGGACGTCATAGAGAGACCGAAGTGCGAAAAGATCACTGATTAAGACTTCTGCTTCTAAGAGGCAGACTTCAGTAGTACTCGGGTCATCGTAAATCAGTGATTTGCAAAGCATAAAACCATGGTTGTTATACGTATGATATATCGCCGAATACGACAGTATAGCCTTTATTCTTATCTATTAACATCTAAACATTGGTGTAACTGTTTGCTCTGGCATAGAAAAAAAAATTCTGTGGGACCGGTAATGGAATCAGATGGTATTTAGTGACAAATCCCGCTTCTGCTTGGGGATACACGAGGGTCAGGCAAAAGGCGACGTGTTGAAAGACGTGAACCATAATTTGACGGAGAGTTCACAACACAGTGGAAATTATGGTGTGGAGTGCTGTTGCTTATAGTAGCACATCACCACTAATTTTCATCAGACAGTATACTTAGGAAGTAGTATAGTCTCATCTTATTCCATACTTAAACCCCATACAAAAACGAATTCTTCAGCAAGACAATGCAAGACCGCATGTTGCAAGAAAATACATATTCTTCATGGGTGAACATCATATTAACCATTTACTTTGACCACCACCAACGCCTGATCTGTCTCCAATTGTACACATGTGGGACATTATAGGTCGCAGGCTCTTGAATTTGCAACACCCTCCACAGACTTTAGCAGCTCTCACCAACGAAGAGTTAAAGTAGCCTGGAATGAGATAACTCAACAGAATATCGACCACCTCACCAGAACGATGCTGGCGCATGTTAATGTGTACAACAAATCTTTGATTATTAACACATTATCGAACCAGTATCTGCAGTAAGTTGATGAATCAAGCTGAAAATTTAATCATTTTACTAGTAAGGGACACTGAACATGTACACCAAAAATAATTAAAATCGGATAAATATATCTTAATGTTTACATTTTTTGTCAGTCAGTATACTATATACAT